GTGGGCAACCTAGTCATTTGTAAAATGTTCTACAGGACCTGGGCCCAGGTTTCTGGGTCACCCAGAGATGTCAAAAACAAAATAGGACTGAAACCAAAGGGAGCAAGTGTGATGTCCACAGAGAGGACATGAAGAAGTCTCTTTCCTTTCATGGGAGGAACGCCTCAGAGAGAGCTCCCTTCCTGTGAAGAGTACAAGAAACCAGAAGGTTGAGAGGACCTGAAGGCGGGAGGTGGGAGGGGGGACACTTCTCTTCTCTCCCTCTCAGGAGCTTTAGCTCCTGTCCCATTTTTTTGTGACTTTGTTATACAATCTTTGAGCCAGCCTCATACAGCAGGCACAGGCCTCAAACCTGCAATGCAGGTGAGGCTGACCTCCTGTTCTGCTTCCCAAGTGCTGGGATCTCAGACAGAGCCACTGACTGCACCTGTTTCCATTTTCTTTAAATACCTTTTTTACTTTTCCTGAAATTTTGATTGTGTGTGTGCAAGCACATGTACACACATGGCACCTCATGAGTGTGGAGGTCGGGTGGCAACTTTTAGGAGTCAATTTTCTCTTTCCATCATGTGGATTTAAAGTCCATCAGGCTTGGCATCAAGCACCTTTATCCACTCAACCAACTTACTGTATCTTTAAATACATAAAAATAAAGAAAAACATTTAAAAATTTTCACTTGAACTGGAGAGGTGGCTGAGAAGCTAGGAGTACTTGCGGTCCTTGCAAAGGACTTGAGTTCAGTTCCCAGCGTTCATATCTGGTGGCCAACAACTTCCAGTAACCCTAGCTCTAGGGGATCCAAAACTCTCTTCTGGTCTCTGAGAGAGACCTGTACAAATGTGGCGTCTGCACACATATACACACATAATTTTATAAATTAAAAATCTAGAACTAGTTGTGAGTTAAATTTTTTCTTTCAGCTGAGCATGGTAATGTATGCTTTTAGCCTTAGCACTCAGGGGACAGAGGCAGTTAGATCTCTGACTTTAAGGACAGCCTGTTCTACATCAACGGTTTCAGGACAGCCAAGGCTACATAGCGAGATCTTGTCTCAAAAACAAGGAATACTTTTTAAAAAGTTTTTCAGTTTAAATTCTGCTGTGTATCAAGCTCCTCAGAGATAAACCAATTGTAACTAGGATATTCTAAAGCAGTGGCTCTCAACCTGTGGATCATGACCCCTTTCAGGGGGTCAAATGACCCTTTCACAGGGGTGGCATCAGATATTTTACATATCAGATTATTTACATTATGATTCAGTTATGAAGTAGCAGCAAAAATATTTTTTTTTTGTTGAAGGTCATCACCTCAACATGAAGAACTATTAAAGGGTCACAGCATTAGGAAGTTTGAGAACCATTGATCTAAAGGAAGATGAAACACTCCATCCTACAGGGAAGCTCCTTAATACTCAGGAAATAGACAACTCAACAGTTTCAGAAGCCCCTAAAACTGACCAGATTCACTAGGCTCCTCCCTCCTCAAGTATCTATAAGCAGTAAGGACAGCTGAAAGATGCTCAGACGAGCTGAGCTGCCCAGAAGAGACACTCTCCATCCCTGAAGGCTGCACAGTGTGCTCCAAGTATCTAGCTTTCATGAGCTGTCACCCACACTGGCGTGAGCTTTGCTGATATAGTTGTCCGTGAGCCCTTCTACTGTAACCCCTTCCCCATACTCCTGCATGTAACCCCAATAAAACTCAGTGATTCACCAACTTGGACTTTGGTTGTATCCTTACTTTGGTCTGTCAACAGAACCCTATCTGGGGGGGGGGTCTGTCACCGGTACCCTATCTGGGGAGAGTAAACACGTGTTTATATAGCTTCACGAATACTGTCACACAAGTTGGACAAACAGCAAGCCTTGTTTCTGCAGAAGGCAAACCACGCCTCCTACCTACCCCATCTCTTCCTTTCTCTCTGTCCTACTCTAAAAGCAGGAAGGTGAAAATGGTCACTTATGTGGTTAAAGTGCAAGGACACCTGCAAGGACACACTTCTTAGCTACTCTAACAGGTGGGCAGAAGTTAGTCCGCTTGCTGCTTGCTGCTTGCCATTTACAGCAATGTTCTATGAGGTCCACAGATAAAAGTCAGCCAGCGCTGACCCACTCTCAGGGGTGGGGTGGAGGGCAGGGGGAGGGAGGGGTGTGGGGAGAGGTTCTGGGGAACAGAGCATCTGGGCAGACTTTGATTAGTCACTCTATCAAAACACAACCTCTGGTGTGTGTGTACTTCCACTGAAAGCATCCTGGGCCACACCCTGATCTACTATCCCCACCTCATACAATGGCAGTAAAGTCTCTATCTTCTTCATCAGGCACACTCAGGCCTCTGCATACTTAAACACTCTACACAGGGGTCACTCCAAACATCAAGATCACAAACAGGAGCACAAACGGTTTCCAATAGACCATAAACAGGTCGCATGTTCACAGCATGAGGGCCGAAGCATCAGGAAAGCACAGCTTCACTGCAGCCCTCCACTGAGAATGCTCATGTTGGGTGACTCCTATTTTTTCACTGCTCTAAATATATCTGCAAAGGACTGAGGAGGAGCAGCGAGCATTCACCCTGAGGTTATCAATAAAACGTCAGAGAACAGCCAAATTCACAAATTCTGACTGAATAATGAGAACTTACTGTATATTATGAGAATACAATTTTAGCACGTTGCGGGACGACCAAAGTGAAAGCAACCATGGCTGTTCCTATCGGAACTGCCGCCTTTCGCACCAACCTAGTGACCATCTCCTCCTACGCAAATGTTCAGGCTCCCACAGGCTTCTCTTCAGTGGAATGCTTCCCAGGCCTTTGGTTCCTGCCTCCTGAGTGCCCCTTGCCCAGGTTCCAATCCCTTCCTCTGGGAGGGAAAGCAAGGAAGTTGGCCTGGTCCTCAGCGCTGAGAGCACCCGTGCTTGCCTCCCATTCCTTCCTGGATCCTGTGGTCACTCCTGCTCAATGCTGTAGGTGGCACCTAGCAGGAATGAGGTTAAGAGCATGGCTGGGAAGCCCAATACTCTCCTGCTTCAACATAGGTGCTATATGGCCTGAGCCTGTTAACCTTTAGAGCCTTGGTCTGGACGTCTGTGAGACGCAGTCAGAACATTACTCCATCATCCATGACCTCTGATGGGATCCACAGATCCACTCAAGATGGTGCACACAGTCATTTTTCTGTGTCCCAGGCAAAGAGAGGCTGTTTAAAAAGTATGGTCCCAGGGTAGATGGGGACCTCAGAAGGGCAGAACATACCTCCTTGTTGGATTTGAGTTATATATTTGCTATCTAACCACGTCCTTGTTCACTTTCTGACTAAGGGGGTTTCCATATCCTCAAAAGTAAGATAGAAAAACACCAACAGAGTAAATAAAACTGCTTTCCTGGCTTCACTAAGGTTGGTAGCCCCACTCATGGCTCCAGTTAGAGGACCTTGGGCCTTCCTAAAATTCGGGGGGATAGCAAGTTAGGGCATCACTGAGCCATGGAAGCAGAGAAAGGGCAGGGAGAAGGGTAACCTGCTCCTTAGGGCACTTCTATACACTGCCTGAGTTAAATTTATATGCAACTAAGAACCTCAGCTGTCCCATGGTGAGGGGAACATTAAAATCCCAGGCCAATGCTCAACTGCCAGGGCACCTCTAGTTCTGGGTTTTGGTTTCCTGTCATCTCTTCCCCTCCTATTTTTCCTGCACCAGGTAGCTCTCCCAGTGAAAAGGCTTCTCCACGGCTGCCAGGTACCCCTTACCAGTAACCAGAAAGATGTAGCCAGGGAGCTGTCAATACGTATATGACACAGGTAAGTAGGCAAGGAGCTTCCTTGTCCTCTCCTCCAACCACTGCTAGGTCACAACATACCCCTTGCTCCATTCCAGGTTGGGTGTTACAGTTCCAAGAGTCATGAGGACAAGTCCTTCCCTTGGTGGAACCCCCCCCCAGGGTAGTTGGGGAGATAGAGTTAGATGCAGAGAAGTTGCAGACTTCTAGAAAGGCTGTGGCACAGAGGGAGGTGGCAGCAGAGTTTAGAGAGAGAGAGAGAGACAGGAGGCACAAGCTCCAGGATGCAAAGTCCTTTTTTTGCCCTGCTCACCTGGGCTTTTCAGGTGCTACGCAAGATCTGGCAAAAAGCAACTACCTTTCTAAGTATAAATTAAAATATGTACAAGCAGAGACTATGCCAGTTAATATTATCAACAGTCAAAATAAATCCTTTGCCCCATGAGTTGCTTTTGTCAGGTATTTGTAATAGCAACAAGAAACATAACTAAGACAGAGTCCCACATTAACATGAACATGCCCCATGTAATTACTTATATAGAAAAGGTATCCGTGCATGCAGAGAGTGTGTGTGTGTGTGTGTGTGTGTGTGTGTGTGTGTGTGTGTGTGTG